AAGTAGCATACATCGCCTGCGACTTCCAAACGGAAGTTGCGTCCATCATACGCGACTTCCACGTCAACGACAACCCACCCGTCACATAGACAATACACGTTGCATGGGAGTAGCGTCATTGTATGTGAGTTTTGACCCTTCCTTAGACCTAACCTATTTTTGTCAATAGTTTCAAACACCTAAGTTACTTTTGTATTTATTTATTTATTTTACATTTATTTAGTTATTATTTTTAAATTACCATTATTTTTGTAATTTCTTTTTAAAATGTCATTATTTTAAAACTTAACCCCTCCGAGAAATTATAAAAATATTATTATTTAATGTTTTCTTTTTTAAATGTCATATAAGTTTGTAATTTATGTCATTTTTTAAAATTTTAAACCTCAAATTATATATATATATATATATATATATATAATACATATTATCTTTGTGCTATTTTTACAATTTTCTTGGAATAGAAATGCAAGCACAAAAATGTGAAATTGAGAGAGATTTAAAAAAAAAATCAAATAAAAAATTTTGAGAAAGGTGAATAAAATCTAAAAAGTTTTTTTTTATCAAAATAAAATGAAAATTTGTCCGTAATAATTGAAAACCTTGAACCAAATAAAATAAAGAAATTTCGTATTCTAAAAAATACCATAATTTTTTTATTTTTTATTTTTAAATGTAGTACAAATATGACTTTTTAAAAGGTTTTATATTAGATTTGAATTTGAATTTAATCTAATTTATAGTGTGCTGTTTTTATAAAATTTCAAACTTTATGCTATATTTGAAAATACATATTTTATTTGCGTAAGTGCCTCCGTCAATATGTTTTAGTCCCTAACCTCTGACTATTTATTTAATTCAATCCCCAATATTTTAAAAGTTTCAATTTCGTATTGAATTTTTTTCAATTAAGTCTTTAAATTACTAAATATTAAAGAACAATGCTATATGAATTTTAAATTAGTTGTTAGTATAACAATATTTTAACGTGCAAATTTACAGCAACAACAAATAATTTTCAAGTTTAGTAAATTACTACATAATAAGTTACATAAAATGAGTAAATTTCTAATTTTATGGATGAGTAGTATGCCTATTTCATCAAATTAAAACATTTTTTTTTCATATTACATCATCATTTTATCAAATAATTTTAAGAAGTTTAAATACTATTTTTGTGCTTGTATTTTGAAGGGTTCATTTTGGTTTTTGAGTTTTCAAAACGAATATTTTGATCCTTGTACTTTCAATTTTTGTCCTCGTATTATTTAAACGTTTGTTTTTTATTGTTCTTCTGACAATTTCGATCATTTCATTTTAATAAAAGAAAATACCTATGAAAAATCAATAATAGCACTGAAACTTTTGAAACTTTCGGGAGGACGTGAGTATTTTTTTTCTAAAGAAATGACAAATTTCAGTGAAATTTTTTTGGTAATTTAGCCGTATCGAAATTAGGTGGGCCAGACGGGCAGTTGGGCTCCACACCTTAGAAATTGGGCTCGTTACTGTTCAAATCAGAAGAGACTTCGTTTCTGAAAGGAGTCTTCGTTTTACCCTTTGCATTATAGAGATCTGGAAATCGATCTCGGAGGTCGGAATCCATGGCCGACCACCACCACCACCATCAGAGGCCTCACCGTCTCTCAATTCCGCCGCGCGCCGCCTCCGCCTCTCGGCCGTCTTTCCCTCTCTTTCCCTACTCGTCTTCAACTCCGACCCCCACTCCCTCCAAGAGCCGCCTCTATCCCAAATCCTCCCACAAGACCTCCATTTCTTTCCTCTTTCTGCTTCTTTTTTCACTCCGTTCACTCTATTCGCTCCTCCCCTTCCTCCGCTCTTCCCCTTCGTTCTCCCTTTTCCCCTTCTCTTTCTTGGTCTCTCTCCTCTCCTTTCTTCTCACCCTCTCCTTCTCTCTCTTCGCCAATTCTTCTTCCTCCAGCTTCCAATTTCACAGTTCCAAGCAGAACCGAGCCGTTTTCTCTCTTTCTTCGATTTCGCATGCGCAGCTTAAAACATTGCTCGCCAAGTCAATTCTGCTCGCCGTGGTCTTCCTTCTTCGGTTTCAAGCGCTGTTGTACTGTGGTACGGCGGCGTTGATTCTCGCTGAGCTGTCTGGGAATGTGGCGGCTCGATTCTTGGCGGAGGGGCGGAATCAGATGGCCATCGGTGATCGGGCTCGAAGTCGGTCTTCTGAGGTTCGTGGATTTTTCTCCCTGTTTCTTGGCTTGTTTTTGTTGTCTGTCAGTTGGGACAGAATTGATTGCTTCCCCTTTGCAACTTCATTCATTGATAAATATGGATTTTCTGTGCTTCCAAGAGAGAATTGTATGAGGGTTTGGCCGATGTTGCTTCCGTTTCTATCTGGTTTCTTGGGTTGTTACGAGAGGATTTCGATGAACTGGGGGACTGTTAAGCAATTGGGTCAGAAACGAGTTAGATTGATTTCACTGTTCTTCACGACGATTATCCTTTTTGTTCCTGCTATTATTAGTATGCTTATGTTTGAAGCGGAGGGAAAGAGTGTTTCCTTTGGAAATCTGGCATGGCCTCTTGCAAACACTGTAGTTTTTGGAGTACTTTTGAATGAAAATTACAGTGATGACAAACTAATCAGTTCAAACGATTTTAGGAGTGAATTTCTCGTCACTTTTGTTTGTACTCTTGTTCTGGAGTTGCTGTATTTTCCTGAGCTCTCTCTGTGGGGATTGTTGTTCTGTGGATTACTACTGTTTGTGGCTGTAAGAGACTTAGATCCTGTTTACCTGAACTATCTTGAGCTTGGGGTAGAGTCATCAGATTCGATTACCACAATGGTTATGAGACCTATTCATCACATTCTGAGTGAGCGGAAATCCCGGAAGATTGCGCTTTTCCTCTTGATCAACACTGGGTATATGGTTGTTGAATTTGTTTCTGGTTTTATGAGCAATAGTCTTGGGCTGATTTCAGATGCATGCCATATGTTGTTTGATTGTGCTGCTTTGGCTATTGGACTGTATGCTTCTTATATTTCTCGTTTGCCTGCGAACAACCAATTCAACTATGGACGGGGGAGATTTGAGATTCTTTCTGGATATGCTAATGCTGTTTTCCTGGTTTTGGTCGGGGCGCTCATTGTATTGGAGTCGTTTGAGCGAATCTTGGAGCCGCAGGAGATATCGACTAACAGCTTATTAACGGTTTCGATCGGAGGGCTGGTTGTGAATGTGGTTGGTTTGATATTCTTTCATGAAGAGCATCATCATGCCCATGGTGGATCGGGATCATGCTCACACTCTCATTCTCACTCTCACTCTCATGTCAAGCATGACCATGGAAGCTGTGGGAAGCATGAGAATGTTGTCTCTATTACAAAAGATTGCCATGAAAGTTCAATTTCTGTTCATACTGGCCATCATGAACATGACAATCCTACTTGCAGCGACCATGTTGATGTTTCTAGCGAGGGTCACCTCAGTAACTGCCATGACCGTGATCATCATCACCATCACGACCACACCGATCATCATGACCATGCTCAGCATCATGGCCACAAGCATGATCACCATCACGATCATCACGACGAGCACTCTCACCATCATGATCACCACCATCATCATGGCGAATCTTGCAAGCATGACCACCATGACCATGCTCATCGACATGACTCAGACGGTCATCTTTCTCATGCTGAAGCCGATGTGCCCAAAATTGTTTCTCATAGTTCTTTAGAAAGTTCACACAGCCACCCTTCAAGGCAGCCTGTTGAGGGGACGGCCCGACAGAAGCACCACCATCACCACATTGACCACAACATGGAAGGGATATTTTTACATGTTCTGGCCGACACCATGGGGAGTGTCGGCGTCGTTATATCGACCCTTTTGATCAAGTACAAGGGATGGCTAGCTGCCGATCCAGCCTGTTCCATATTTATTTCTATAATGATCATATCTTCAGTTATTCCATTACTTAGAAACTCTGCAGAAATCTTGCTTCAAAGAGTTCCTAGGGCACACGAGCAGGATCTGAAGGAGGCTATGAACCACATTATGGAGATACGAGGAGTCCATGGCATTCAGAACCTGCACATTTGGAGTTTCACCAACACCGACGTCGTGGGAACTCTCCGGCTTCATGTTTCAACAGAATCTGACAAGGCTTCTATAAAGGCTAAGGTTGAACACATACTTCATGATGCTGGAATCAATGACTTGACGATGCAGCTGGAATACAACCGGTAATTATCTCAACAATCCTCTTTCTAACATTGGCTTACGTCGTCTCATGCGATTATCAGATGATCGGGTTTCTCTTGGTATTCATAATGACTCCTTTAAGTCACGCCTCGGAAGGTAAGTAAATTATCCATTCCTCTTCTAGCTCTGCAAATGTAATGTGAGAAGTGTGAATTGGATGGTTGCCAAGTTGAAGGAGTCATAAGTTTATGTTAAGTTGTGAGATTAGCCTTACATCTTTCTATTGCTGAATCACAGAGAGGTTCTTTGTTGGATCCTTGTTCTACATTCTTATACTGACTCAAATGTTAGATTAGTTTCAATGTAATTGATTGATTTTGCAGGATGTAAAGAATGAACCCAAAAGGGTAATAATTATCTTTAAATATATCATAATTTAGTGTCGAGTCTTTTTAGGCCCCCATTTACTTGTGAAATTTCAAGGTGAGGTTGATCATAGCTCGACCTAAGGCGTTGACCAAAAGCTTTTGACTTCAAATCTCCAACCTCGAGGTGTTGTACTTAAACAAATAAAAATAAATAATAGTCAAGAAAACCCTCTCTCTCATCTTAAAGTCTTACTTGTAACTTTTTAATTAATCGGTGGTCCTCTTACTTTTTATCTGTTTATTTACACTATTAACAATATACAAATTTTTTACTATATATATATATATAAATTTTATGTAATTTATTAATTATTTAATTTCAATATATTTGTTAAAATAGAATTTGTTATTATTAAATATTATAACCAAGATATTTTATATTAATGATGATTATTTCTAATAAAAGATATATTAACCTTTTTTTAGTTGACATAATTTTATTTTTATTATTTATTATTTATTAATATATGATAAAGTGTTAAAATAAACCCACACTCAAGAGGGGGCTTCTAAGAGGGAAGGTCCCCATCCTCCAATAAAATAAATAAATAGTAGTGTTAACATAAAAATATTATTATCAACGTAATAAATTAAAATTTATTGACAATAATATTTCATTAAAAAAAATTAAAAATGATATTACTATACTATTTAGTTAATTTATTTGTAATTACCTATAAATAAGAAAATAATATTTTAGTAATTGTTGTAGGTTTGATTTCTATTATGATTTTGGAAAGTTTTGGCAATTCAATAGATTTTCGTTTCACAGAGTGCTCTTACAAATTTATAATAATATTTGGTTAATTTAAAAGTATTTTTAAAATTCTATGAATATTGAAGTGAATTTTAAAGTACTTTTTAGATGAAGCATTTGATGAGTGTTTTTTTCTCCTTTTTTTACTAAAAATGTACTACCTCCAAAGTTCTCTTTTTTAATTATATAGTTTTTATAAACATTTCAAAATCTACGCCAAATTTTATAGGAAAAAGAAAAAGAAAAAATGACAATTTTGTTTTTGTTTTTTGAAATTTGATTAAAAATTCAAATATAATTTCTAGAGAGTTAAAAAACTTATCAATGAATGGTACAAAACCTATGATTTAATTAACAAAAAACGAAATGGTTGTTAAAAGATACCTAAACTTTGATGGTTGTGTTCAAAGTAGTTGAATTAAAGAAAAAAAATTGATTACTTTCTTGAATTTTCTTTTTTTTTTTTTTTGAGAAAACTTGAAATTTCAATTTTAATTCTACAAGTCTTTGTCGTTACACTGTTATAAAACACAAGTGGGTGTCTCAAACTTTTTGATACGATCAGTAGACAAAATACAATTTAAACTAATTTTTATTTGTTCAGCTTAATTTTATCTAACTGGCTTATTCGTGGTTCAATCAATCTATCACAAATTAAAAATTTTCAATATTTATAAATGAATCGTCAAAATTCAACACTAACCCTATAAATTATAAAAATAAAAAAGTTCATAAAAAATAATTTAAATTAACAAATAAGTTTTTTTTCATTTTAAAATAATTGTTATTAATACTATTAATATTCTTTAATTATAGAATGTCAATACATTGGAATTAAGATATAAAAATTTAGTAGGGATAAAAATATAATTTCGTATCTAAAATTTTAAATATTGATGTTGATAGAAATGTATAGATTTCAATGTCATATGAGATGAGATGAAAATAGCTAGAAGATGAATATTTTTGAAAAAGTTATAAAAATAAAAAAAATGTATCGTAAATAATATTTGTAAATTAACCGAAATAGAAACACATGCAGAATTTTTGTGATTGTGCATAATTTTGACGTACGGCGCCGTTGCTTCGTTTTCCGATCTGTTCTCTGCAAATTAAAAACGGAATTTGGAACCACACTTTCCTTCTTTCCTACGCCACCGAAATCAATTCCATCAATTTCCAAGCTTCTTTCTTTTTGATTCAATCAAATTTGGAGTCAAATGCGGAGGTAGAGCTACAGATTTGAAGCACAGGATCTAGGGTTTTCAGTATGGAGAGCTCCGAGAAAGTGGTTGCCGTTATCATGGTCGGCGGCCCAACTAAAGGTACGTACCTACAGAGTTTCGCATCTCCGATTCCATGTGCGAAAATGTTCTCCTCTGTTTGACTTGCTTTTCTTGCAGGCACCAGATTTCGACCTCTTTCATTCAATACTCCGAAGCCTCTTTTCCCTCTGGCTGGCCAACCGATGGTTCACCATCCTATCTCTGCTTGCAAACGGGTTAGATTTATGAGCAGATTGAAACAGTTGTGGTGTTAGTTTTCCAGCTGAATTTTTGTTCTCGTTTGTTGGGATGAGTTCTTATAATGAACCTTGAGTTGTGGGCTGTTTGTAGATACCAAATTTAGCTCAGATTTTTCTGATTGGATTTTACGAGGAGAGGGAATTCGCTCTTTACGTTTCCTCTTTGTCCAATGAGTTGAGACTGCCAGTGAGGTGACTGCTGCTCGTCTATTGTACTCAATTCTAGTTTGAACTTTGTTTAGTTTCAGTTTGGTCTCTGTTTTGATTTAGTTCCAATTTAGTCTCTCAAGTCTTAAAAGTTCAAATTTGGCTCCTATAGTGTGGTTAGATCTGATTAATCGTCCCCAAATCGTCTTTTACCCATTCGAAAATGATATATTTTCTCCTATTTTTACTCAATCCTATACCCTAATAAAAAACATCAGCTCATTTCCACGTAAATAGGAAATGTGTCCTATGCTCAATATGTTAACAACTTGTAACAGCAAGGACTATGTATTAGATTTGACCAAACTATAGACTCCAATTTGAAACTTTTAAAACTATAGGAGTCATATTGAAACTAAGTTCAAACCATGTGATCAAATTGAAACTGAGCTTAAATCATGGAACCAAAGTTGTAATTTAACTGAACTTGTAACTATATCGTTCTGAGGTGGTATAACTTGCTTGATTGCGTTGGCTTTAGGTATTTGAAGGAGGATAAACCACATGGCTCCGCAGGGGGGATTTATTACTTCAGAGATATTATCTTGGAAGACAGCCCGGTTTGTAATCTTTTGTGCTTTCTGTAACTCATGTTGTGTTATATGGAGTAGCAGGACAGTGTTTGTGCTTCTCAATCTACAAGAAATAAACTTCTTTATATTTAAGTTCTCACATGTCACATGTTGTTGTGTATGCTTTGCAGTCGTACATCTTTCTACTAAATTGTGATGTTTGCTGCAATTTTCCACTTCCAGACATGCTCGGTTGGTTTCATAACTTATAATCTTTTACAGGAACTGATTTGTTCTTCTTCTCCTGCGAACTTAATTATTCATGTAAAGTAAGTGGTGTGCTTCTTTTCTCATTTTACAGAGGCACATAAAAGATACGGTGGGATGGGAACTATATTAGTAAACAAGGTTGGTACATGATCTATGGCTTTCAAAAGAAAAGGTTGTAAGGCAAAAAGAATGCTCTGACATTATATTCATCTTAGTGCTGGTGATGTTGGATTTATATTTTTATTTTGAATTCCTGTGCAGGTTTCTGCTGAAGCTGCTAATCAGTTTGGTGCACTGGTTGCTGATCCTATCAGCAATGAACTGTTGCATTACACAGAGAAACCTGAGACTTTTGTATGACGGGGTGCTTTTTTCCTTCAGTTTATCAAACCTAACTGATGCTTGACTGCAGTTATCTAAGTCCATGATTGTCTTTCTCAAATTCTGGTTTTCCTTTGGTTGCAGGTGAGTGACTTAATAAACTGTGGTGTATATGTATTTACCTCAGAAATTTTCGATGCCATTCAAGATGTCTCTATGCATCGGGAAGGCAGAGGTTGCAGTAGTGTAAATTGATGCCATATTTTGAACTTTCTTTTTTCCATTTGTAACATGTGGAAAATTGACAGTAAATGCTGAACAAATTTAGTATCAATTACTTTTATTTATTGCAGCAAATCTACGACGAGTCTCCAGCTTTGAAGCTCTACAATCTGAAACAAGGTTAGCTACACAGAAAATCTCACGCTCACCACACTGTCTGTTTTTGCATACAAATTTTGAAAATCTCTTAATTTAATACGAAAATGTAATACTAATTATGAATAATATTATGTCTAAGAAGTTTTTGTTTGATTTGGTTCAGTTTCATGTTTAGAAGCAAACTCTGATTAGATTAGAGTACATGAAACAACCGTTTTATGTCAACTTTTAAAATTATAACCCTCTTGGTCAGTTTTTAACAGCTCTTGCTCACGTAACTTCTTTTTTCCATTATATTTGTTTCAACAGAAACCTTCCAACCGACTTCGTAAGATTAGATCAAGATATTTTGACTCCCCTTGCTGGGAAGAAACGGTTATATACATATGAGACCATGGAGTTTTGGGAACAGATCAAGACTCCAGGGTAGAGTAACAACTTGGGCATTCATCGTCTCCCCCCTTCCCGGTCTTTTCTCTGTTGTAGTTATTCTCTAATTTGTTGTATTATCTGAGCCTTACGAATCTGTCTTAATATTTCAGGATGTCTTTGAAGTGTTCGGCCCTATATCTTGCTCAGTTTCAACTAACCTCCCCCCATCTTTTGGCTAGTGGAAATGGTACCAAGAGTGCTACTATCATTGGTGACGTCTACATTCATCCATCAGCAAAAGTACATCCAACTGCCAAGGTAATTTGTTCATTCTTATTCATAATCAAGAAGCTTACCCATATTATGCTTCCTCATTTACTTCAGCTCAGCTATATCACAATTGGTACCTAAATCTTTCAAAATATTCTATTATTTTTACTTTGCCAGTTCAATATTGAGTTCCAAAGTTTATTTTTATGCTTATCATCTGTTTCCTTGGTCTTCTCATTTCATCTTAATTCAGTTAATTACAAAAAAAAATTTTGCTAATTAATGAAATTGGACTTCTTACTCCTATATTTTCCTTCACCAGAGTAGGCAGAAAATTAATATAATTATAACTAACTTATTGGCAATATTCTTTCATCTGTAATTGAATGCATTTGTCTTTTATCTCATACCTGATAAAGCCAGCACGTGAGCTTCCATATCTTCTATTTACAGAAGTTATCTAATATGACCGACACAATGTGACAGTCACTTTTATACTATTAAAGAATATTATTTTATCAAGCGTCTATCAATTATGAATAAGAGTGATAAATATATTGTGGTGGCTACCTGAATAATTTCTGTTTCTATTGTGGTTTCCTGGTCTTCCTGTGCACAACCTTGATTACTCTAAATTTCCCTTCTGAACAGATTGGTCCCGATGTATCAATTTCTGCTAATGTTCGTGTGGCTGCTGGCGTGAGGCTTATAAGTTGCATCATCTTGGATGATGTTGAAATTATGGTACTGAAGCAATTTAGCTATGATGAAGAATAATAATAAGATATTTCCTTCTCCTTGAAATAACAAACTCGTGCTATCGTCTTTGACAGGATAATGCTGTTATCATAAATTCTATTGTTGGATGGAAGTCATCAATTGGAAAATGGTCGCGTGTCCAGGCAAGTGCAGTAATTTAGTACTATCATGTTCTTATTTCACAGTTTACTTTCTGTTCTTTAGATGGCTAACTAAACAGCGAAAGTGCCTTTGAGCTGATGAACTACTCTTTTCTTTCTGTAACTTGTCTTATTAGTTGATTTATCTTTTCTCATCTTCTTGACTTCATCATATGACCTCCCAACTTCTTCAACTCAATTGGAGAACCTTTTTTGTAGTTCTTTTAGCTTCCCCTGGAGAATCCATTTTGAAAAGAACGACCAAACAACCCTTGGACCTCCCAAATTTGGAAGAATACATGAAAAGAAAATGAGAAAAAGTAACTATAAAATGTTAGCTAAATCGAAACACTCACAAAAACTTTGTTCTGAAACATAACCAAACAAAAACAACCTTTAGAGCTCCCAAATTTCCTGCAATTATCTTCAGGGTACGTGTAGGATAAATTAGCACAAAAGGAAAAGAGGGAAGCACTTGAAACTTGAAGAAGAAAGAAATAATCTTTCATTAAGAAAATGTAAATATGGATACTTTTGAGAGACCTCACACCTTGTTTGCAACTGTCATATGGTTAGAACAATTTGAATCAACAATCTAGTCATTTTGTCACCTGTCATATGGTTAGAACAATTTGAATCAACAATCTAGTCATTTTGTCACCTGTCATATGGTAAGAACAACTTGAATCAACAATCTAGTCATTTTCATAATTTACCTGTTTTGCAAGAACTTTGTCATCTTTCTCCACCATAGTAGAGGCCGATTGTGAGTTAAGTTTTTTGATACAAAATATGCCTCTGCATCCCATCACTAATGCTTTCATTGTGGGAAGTCACTACATTGCTTTTCTTTTACTTAGATAATAATCTCCGGCATAGTGGCCTACAAGTGGTTTAGATAATAATCTCTAGCATAGTGGCCTATAAGTAGTATCAGAGCCATGCCAGCATAACTTACTTTGGTGGAGTTTCTGAAGATCGTGTATTGTTTGAGACTGTGAAGCTTGTTGTCTAGGACACAGCTTGTTCATGGATTGTATTTGTCGCTACAAGATGATAGGAGACCTACAAGTTATTGGAGGAATCAAGAAGCTCAACACTCAAATTTACAAAACGTGGTCCACTTGCATGGGGTCATATCTCTAAGGCCAAGATTTATGGGAAGTCGAGGTAGTGACTTATTCATGGCCTAAATAGTTGGATGAAGGATCTAATTCAGAGATTTCACAACAAAGAGTTTTTATTGGTTGAAGTATGATTGATTGAATGAATTTGTCTCTTATACAAAAAAAAAAAAAAAAGAAGGATTGTGATCTCTTGTGGGCAATTGATTGAAACTCTTTCTCCAAAAGCTGCAACCTCGCATAATTTTTCTTTGAGAATAGTGAGGCAAACGTGTCCCATGCCACTTTAGGGGTCTCCACTTACCTAATGTGCTCCAACATTTAACGATAGTTCTAGTAGCAAACATAGTCTTTACTTGCCTTGATCTTCCATTTTGTCAAGTGGCATGATGTTACACTGCCTCCTAAGACCTCATAAGTCTTGGCCTTGAAGAATAAGTCCATGCTAGTGGACCATGTTTATAACTTAGAGTGTGGAGCTTCTTTATTCCTTTAACAACTAGTGACTAATGCATTCTATGAGCAAGCTATGTCTTAGACAACATGTTTCACAGTCCCAGACCCGTACATGATCTTCAGAAGCTCCACCAAACAAAGCTATACTAGCTTGGCTTTGATAGTGATACTAGTTGTAGAAGAAATTAGCAAAAAAGGAGAGGAGAGAAGTACTTGAAGAAAGAAAATTTTATTAAGAAAATATAGATATAGACACTTTTGTGAGATCGCTCTTGCACACTTTCTAAACCTCACACCATGGCTACTTTCCTCACTTTTCTAACTTGCCTAATATCTGGAGACACACCTCCGATTTATAGACAAGGGATGTTGGAGCTAAGCAAAGAAATCTTTCTAGGTCGTTGAACCTAAAATATTCTAGATTCTTCTTTGAAAATCTATTCTTATCTAAAATAATTCTCTAAAATTCTTTGGAGTCCCATAAATATATCTAAAAGCTAAGATATTTCTAGAGCGTCTTGAGATACTTATTTATCAATAAATCTAAAGAGAACTAATATATACATTTAAGGGATTTGCATAGATACTCTAAGAATCTTCTAGATAGTTAATGTTGTATTTTCTTTTAACCGTACTTTCTACTCATTAAAAAATCTTGCTTAAACCAATGAAAAGAAAAAAAACAAATTGAGCTAGCACTTAAAAGTTAAAACACTAAGGCTGAGTTATTATGCAATTTAACTGGTCAGGCAAATGGTGACTACAACCATAAGCTTGGAATTACAATCCTTGGTACGTTTCCTCTACTTGTTTTATTTCTATTATTGTTTCATTCTTCTCATTGAAAGATAAACTCAGTTTATCGACGAATAAAAAAAATCAATATAGAGATTTTGGTGTGTTTTTCAATTTGCAGGAGAAGCTGTGATTGTTGAAGACGAAGTTGTGGTGACCAATAGCATAGTCCTCCCAAATAAGACCCTCAACCTTAGCGTACTTGAGGAGATTATTTTATAACATACCCCTTTTTACACCATCTCTCTCTTTCTACTAAAATTACAAACAATTTTGTGAATCCATGGGTGTCCCTTAAGGCTACTGATTCTTTATTTTTCAACCTGGAAAACTGTCAATTGTCAATATACGAGTTTTCTTTTTTAATTATTACAAGACTTTTGAGTTGGATTGTTCCTTCTTCCTTTTGCTCGATGGATTGAAGGGAGGCAGAGCATCAAGTTGTATACAAGGGTCAAGCCAACTTGATCCTCTTTTCTGACGATCCCCGAATGGGGGACCTTGAGATAGTTCTATTGTCTTTGTACGATCCATACTAGATTTGACCGGCTACCCATACTGTTATTCTACATTCTTGAAAATTAAGTTTTATCTTACTAGAATCTTTCAAGGGATGTTTCAATCCTCTTTTTCATTGCTCGAAAAAGTGAGCCACCGATTTAAGTATAAGTTAATATATTACTATCGAGATAGTTAGAGGGAGTGATGTGGTGGGCTATTTTTAATTCTGAGATAAAACTTTGTACTGTAAAATTCTTGAAGGCGAAATTGGTACTCTTTGGCGAGAGTGAGTTGATTTTTAGCTTTAAAATTTCTTATTTTGTTGCTAGCAGTCTGAATTTTTCTTTATTTTACTTTTCACTTTGTCACACCTTTTTTACTCTAACTAGCTTCTTGCCCAAATAAAATAACTGGTCTTATTCCACAACTCAAGTTGATGTATTTGAAAATCAAGATCACATGGTGAATTTTTCTATCGATCGTGCTCGTGTTATTTACTTGTCAATCAAGAGTCTCATACATTTCGCCAAGGTGAGTATAGCTCAGCAATAATTGGCATATATCTCTAATCAAGAGGTCGTGAGTTTGATCCCCACTCTTATATGTTGATTTTAAATTCATCAAGTATTTTAAGTCACGTTCATACGTCTATTTTTTTCTTGCTTTTATTGTCTTCTTTGATTGAAGTTGTTTAACTTTTGCAATTTTCTTGTTGTCAATGCAATTTTATATTCCTTTTCTTTGTAGATAATGAATAACATTGTCATGCCAAAACGAGCATAGCTCAACGATAATTGACATATATCTCCAATCAAAGTGGTTGAGTTCGTCCCCCACTCCCATATATTGTACTCCAAACATATATATTTCTCACTTTTAGGGAGCATTTAAAATCTCACGAACTAAAAAGTAATATTTCTGGGAAGATATGACCTTTTGGTAATTATTAGAAACTGTGGCAACAAATCATGGTGTACTAAAATATTATAGGTTATTGTAAAAATTTCGACGAGGTGACTAAATAGCTAAGCAAACAATGATCACCATTGAATTTTAGACAAATATGATAGAGAGAACGTAAAAAAAGGATTTTTTTTTCCTATTTGTCAAAACAATAAAAAGTTGTCAAATTTATAGTGACGGTCAACAGAAGGATAGGTGCTGATCCGTCAACACCGAAGTATTATTCTCCAATCCCCTGACCTATTTGAGATCTAAGTAACTTTTTTTTTATGAGAAACAAAAGAAAATATATTCAAAAACACCTTCGAAAGAGGGGCGGGAAGAAACAGCCTAAGGGTGGAGGGTAGAGATAACCCTCCCCCAAGAAGAACTATACAATCACGGACTTCCAATCTTTATAAGCAAAAGGAGACTGTAATTACAAAAAACTTTCTTGTGGATTGTTGCCCACCAAGAAGCCATATGCTTAATATTCACACAAAAAGAATCCACCGAGGCCGTTTTTCCTTAAAAAATTCTACTATTTCTTTCTTTCTATAGGAGCCATAGGAGAGCCCTTGCCACACAATTCCAGAGAACAAAGGATTTCCCTCTAAGAGTAGAACCACCAAGACCCTCAGTGATGAAATCATCGATTTTCCTAGGAGGACAAAAAGAAAAATCAAGAGCAGCAGCCACAAAATTCCAAGCTTGAATAGCAAAAGGGCAATGCAGAAATAAATGGTCAATGTTTTCTGTGTCCTTCCAGCACATATGGCACACTGTTGGAGAAAGTGTCCAGTGGGGAAGTCTTCTTTGCACCTTATCAGCCGTATTGATACCCCTATAAAACAGGGTCCAAAGAAAAATTTTGATCTTCTTTGGCACCCTGAAGTTCCAAATAGAAGAGGCAGTAGCAGAATTCAGCTTCTTCGAGGGAGAGGTGATAGCCAAGAAGGCTGATTTGACTGAGAACGTGCCTTTGCTATCTGCTTTCCACCCAATCTTGTCTCTACCTTGGCCTAGAATTACCCCTTCCAATTTTTCAATGAGGACAACCCATCTATTAATCTCCCTATCAAAAAGATGTCTTCTGAAGCCTAAATCCCACGTTCCAGCCTCTGAAAGCCAACAGTTAGCTATCGAAGTCCTTCTTAGAAGAGAGCCTATACATATCTGGGAAGGAGGTAGCAAAAGCTGTAGAATCCACCCAAATGTCCTCCCAAAAACGCACTTTTTCTCCAGAAGCCACTTTGAAAAAGGTGAGGGTTGTGAATTTCCTTCTCGTTTCTTGAATGTCTATCCAAGGCCTTCCTATCGAGGTGTCATTTGTTGGACGCGTCAACCAACCAAGGGCTTCTTCTTCGTAGATAGCAGCTATGATTTTCCTCCAGAAACTGTCCTTCTCTTCCCCAAAATCTCCATAACCACTTCATAAGGAGGGCGTTGTTGCGAAGCTTTAAAAAGCCAACACCTAAGCCACCTTGTTGATTAGGTAACGCTGCACAGTCCCATCTAACCAAATTTCCAATCAGTCTATATTTACCTCCGTTCTAGATAAAATCTCTGATGATTTTTTCCATCGAAGAAATCACAACCTTGGGAGCCTTGAGGATAGAAAGATAGTAGATGGGGATGCTGTTTAGAATGGATTGAGCCAATGTAAGGCGACCCCCTTTCTAGAGCATCATAGAACTCCATTTTTGAAGACGCTTGTGCATCTTATCCACCATCGGGTCCCAAAAGCCAGCAGACTTATGATTGCCTCCTTGGGGAAAGCCCAAATAAGTGAAAGGGAAGGTTTCCAACCTACACCCAAAGGTAGAGATCCAAAGTTTGGTCTCATCCGGGCTACAGTTTAAACCTATCACAGCTGACTTGGTCACATTTAAAGAAAGCCCCGACACTAGTAGAAAAAGATGGATCAACCCCACCGTTTTGTAAAATTTGTGTATTGAAAGGACTGAAAATTAAAACATCGTTAGCATATTGAAGGTGAGTGACTTCAATGGCCTTACTCCCTATTGTGAAACCCCTTATAATGTTCCTTTCATAGCAGAAATGGATAAGTCGACTTAAAGCATCTCCCACAATGGTAAATAAGAAAGGGGAAAGGAGATCCCCATGCCTGAGACCCCTTTTAGCCAAAATCTTCCCCATCGGTTTGCCATTAATCATAATTGAGAAGTTCGTTGTAGCCAAGCACCCATGGATCCACACTCTCCATTTTCTTCCAAAATATTTTTGCTTGAATGGCTTCGTTTAGAAAGGACCAATCCACCTTATCATAGGCCTTCTCAAAGTCAAGCTTCAACAAGATTCCCTTTCTCTTTTTCTTCTTCCAAAAACTCACTGTTTCAGAAGCAACCATGATGGCATCCAGAATTTGACGACCCTCCACAAAAGCCGCTTGAGCATCATGAATGATAAGGGGGAGAACGACTTTCAGCCTAGCAGCTAGGACTTTTGCTATGACCTTGTAGAGAGAGGAGACCAAGCTAATGGGCCTAAAATTCTTACTGTGGAGGGGTTATGCTTTTTTGGGATGAGGCAAATGTAGGTCTCATTTGTTCTTCTGTTAACAATCCCTTTTTCGAAAAAATCTTAGAACACCTTAACCAAGTCGGGTTTAAAGATGTTCCAAGCCTTTTTCATGAATTCATTACTCATCCCATCTGGGTCGAGTGCTTTTAGGGACCCCAAATCTGTAACTGCCTTACTGATTTCCTCCACAGTAAAAGTCAGGTAAATCATTGCTACTGATTGGTAAAGGAGTCCAATCCGAATTCTCTAGAGCAAAACATTGAKCGACTGTGGAAGAATACAGAGATGTGAAATATCTCAGGATCTCTATCTCAACATCCTCATCATTAGTCAACAAGACTCATTTGTCATCGATGGAAGAAGTTTGAGTTTTCATCACATTCTTGCAGCCATTTCAGCTTCCGTTTCTGCGCCCACATCCGTTGTTCCTGAACAACCGTATCCAGGAAGTGTTCCTTCAGCCTCAGTCTTTCATTCCAGTCCTCTACCGAGAGGGGGTTTTCTTCCTCCTTTTTATCCAGGGCTTCGATAGCTCTTAATAGGTTCAATTTCTTTAGTCCAACGTGCCCAAAGACCTCCTTATTCCACTGGGTAAGCACCACTTTTAGACCCCTCAGCTTCTCCATAAAACCATACCTTGGCCACCCACGTATGAGATTATTTTTCCACCAAAGATCAACCAAAGGTATTAATTGAGGAGAATCCAGCCATACATTTTCAAATCTAAAGGGAGAAGGACTCCGTTTAAGAACCTCTGGAGCCAACTGAATCGGAAAATGGTCCGAGGTGACCCGAGTTAGTCTAGAAGCTCGTTGATCAACAAAAATAGACAACCAATCTTTGAATAAAAGAAAGCGGTTTAACCTGGACGATGAGGGACAAGATCTCATGTTCGACCAAGTGTAAGTGCCATTATCAAGAGGGGGATCAATGAGCTCTAGGTCGTCGATTAAAGCATTGAATTGCTTCATACTAAAGGAGATGCGTTTCTGTCCTCCAGTGGTTTTCTCAGATAACCATCTAGCCTCATTAAAATCCCCCCTATACACCAAGCTCCCTGGCAGAACCTTGCTAAATCTTCCAATTCTCTCCAAAAATTTGTTCTCTCATGGGAATTTGATGGCCCATAGACTCCAAAGAACCAACCTTCTCTACCGTCTACAAATCTTAAATTGATTGTTACAGAGAAAGAACCCAAAATCGACTGAAGGATGGAGAGTTTCTAATCTTTCCAAAGAATTAAAATACCTCCAGCTGTATCTTCTGCGTCAAGGGTTGTCCAACCTATAGATCTAGAGCTCAATATGTCTTTAATAATTTGTCTATCAACCTTGTCTTTCTTAGTTTCCTAAAAACAAACCAGATTCGGATCAGCTTTGATAATCAGATCTTTAACAAGGGCTCTTTTAGAGGCAGCCCCCAGCCCCCTCACATTCCACGAAATTACTTTCATTTGAGAACCGAGGGGCCCTCGTCTAAGTTCTCCTTTTCTGCTTTTGCTTCATTTTCCCATGTTGCGAGCAAATTCTAAGTTCTCTACTCTCTGTATTTTGTTTGTTTCCTTTTCCTACTGGTTTTCCTTTGTTTGGAATTAGTCTAATGCATAACCTATTTTCCCAAAGAGCCACCACCAGATTTTTTGTGAAAGGAAATGTAGCATGTAAGGATGGTTCATCTGTTTGCTTAACTGCTTGATGTTCATCTTCTGCTTCCTCGTATATGGGTTGGCAGTCTATGGGATCTACTTCTAAAGCCATTAACTATGTTCCTGGACAAAAAACTCGTCCTTTCTTCAGTGTGTTCCATAAAACAGAGGCAGTAGTCCTCTGGTATATCCATAGAGGGAGCTTTTGAAGGTGGGCTGTCTGAAAGGGGGATGTCTTCGCTTGACCGAGTTGATTCAGATGACACATCGATTTATTTTCCTTTTTTCTTTGCATTCTCTACGATTTCTTCTGCCCTCTGCTTCTTTCTCTTTTCTTGTCTTTCTTCTTCAGTTGAGAAAACTATTCCCTTCTGGAGGCTTGGAGAAGCTTTTTGGCCCTTTTTAAAAGCAACATTCTTTTTTTGTCGTAAACCTTCTGACATCTCCAAAGGTTTAACTTTCTTCAGGCCTCCTTTTTTTTTACTAGACTCAGTAGCCTTTTTAGATTGGCAAATTTCTTGTCCATTTCTAACCTTGTCAGTGGGGCCCATCTAAAAAGGATGTATTCCTCCCCCTTCACGTGTCAAATCAGTTGCTTGGCTCGAGGTTGCAAGGGTGTTCGTATTTACCAATGGGTAAAAAAAACCATCTTCCACCCTCCATCTGTCCACTGGACAAAGACCTGGACAACCAGCTGGGCCTCGATGGAAGTTTGATGTTGCCTCCGGAGAGAAACCGCCGTGCACCTTGGCGTCTTTTCCGACAAAAACGTTTTCATAAGTCGACGTCTGCACCTGAAAATACATTTCAGAGTCTTTAATGGTTAGCCCTGCTGGAACAAACCCACAGTAATTACCTCTAACCTTTATGGCCACATCCAAACATTCAATTCTTGCTGTGTTCTCATCTGCGAAGGTCAAAAAGCCTCCGAAGCTATCTCCTATTCTGCGAAAGAGATTCTCACTCCATAAATGAAGGGGAATATTTCTGAATTTCAGCCAACCTCCATAGGAAGGAACCACTGTGTTGTGACCATGTTTTAACGGATTCCATCTTTCCACTTTAAGAGTGTGTGGACCAAAGGTGACCCAACCACAATTCTTACTTAGGAGTCTTGCCAACTCTTCATTTGGACATTTGAGGATGGCCTTGTCTGGTTGGAAGGAGTTGATGATCATATTCTCTTGCAGTTGAGATTCTAAAGTTGAAAGGATTGTCCTCCAATCATCGTAGAAATCCCTTCTAGTGAGGACAAGAACCTGGTCCCAATTAATTTCTCACTTCTTTCTCCTGTGGTAAAGTGTTGATCGTTGTGGGAGAATTTTCCAAGGGCCTAGTGAGAGCTGCTGCATAAGATGTAGTTGTCTTTTGATTGCTCATCGACCTATCCTTTGTTTGTTACTCAAAACCGTTTATAAAATCTAGCAGAAGCTGTTTGAAAGCCTTCCATCCTTTGAAACCTTCCCCCGCTGGGACAACAATGTTGGTTTTGCCCCCTAAGTTTTGGACCTTCGTTATTTCTATAAAGCTGCCTCTTTTATTCGTCGTCTTTAGGATCCAACGAACCCATTCAAGCATTGTGTCTTTCAAAAGAACTTCTGGGTCTGTGGAGCGAGAATGAGGTCTTCTATGTAGTCTGTTAACCATACCACGAGTACTTCTTCGAAGGCGACTATGAACTTTCTACTCAGATGGAACTCCTCAATTTTCACTACTCTGCCCTTGAAGTTCGGATCAAAAGAACATCTAAAGGACTTGTTTTCAATCTTGGCAGTCAACCGCCGTGAAGCCAGGGAGCAGGAGCCGTCTAGTGGAAAGGTTGAACATGTCTCAGATGGATTGGGAAGAGAAGGGAGGGAACGGAGAGACTTAGAGAGAGAACGGAGAGAGTCATTCTTTACATCTAAAATCTTCTCTTTTGTTTCCGCTTTCCAATTTATATCATAACATAAAGGAAGGGTTCTCTGAACAAGTGTCTATAAACTAAGGCGTAAGGGAAGCTGTAGGAGTAGCACTAGGAATAGTAGTCAATTAGACTAAATTAACCGAAAGCCTAGAATATAGATACATAAAGGCAATTCCAATCTTTCATAATGAATGTTATTATGAATATAGATACATAAAGGCAATTCCAATCTTTCATAATGAATGTTATTATTCTTATTCCTCTTCGATGCACAGCACAGAATATAGTCTTTGTTAGAATCCGCTGCAAATAGTCTTTGTTAGAATCCGCTGCAAGGTAATGAAATCCCTGCTGAGATGGAGTCTGACTTCACACACTATATAAAAGAAAAGACTAGCTTGATCTCTTTCTAAGAGAAACAACCTTTAGTAAAACAGAAAAAAACAGAAGATCTGTTTCTCTTGTACATAGCACTCATCCCCACCAACTTTATGAGATCTAAGTAACTTGCACTCTTCATTTGATTGATGCTATAATTTAGGGACCTTTACAAACCATATTGAAAACGTCTAATTTGTAGTAAACTTAAACAGTTAGAGCACGTATACAAGATAGAACTTACGGTGAGAACACGTCTCTTGTTCTCATTCATGGGAAGTAAACCGGACCTAAAAAGAAAAAAAAATCTATTTTTTTAGTGCCCTCTGAAATTACAAACAAAATTAACGGTTGAATTAACTGCTTCCAACTCCAAATACAAACAGAATCAGTGAGTTCGTTCAGATAATAAAGAGGAGAAATCAGAGCAAAATTCTAAAGAAGACAATTACAACTCACTATTTGATCATTACTTTCAAACTAGTCTGTTCTATATTTCTAAACATCATCAAAATGTGTAGTTCTGAAAATGGAAGATTCCTCAGCCCCCCAGATTACTTCAACCTTCCATCAGATCAATGTCAATCCAAGCGAAGGAAAAACCTGTGGCTAGATCGTTCCGAGTGTGAGACCTGACAATTCAAAAGGCTAAAATAAGAAATCGTGTTAGCCACTCCAGAAATAGTCGGCATACCCCTGATTCTGGTATCTTTACATGGCTTTAGATGACTCTGCTCAACTGAACGATCTCGGACTCGGGAATCTGTTCTTCATGGATGCGTATTAGCATCGTTAAATCTATAGAAAGTGGGATTTTTGCATTTATTAACGTGGCTGCACTTCCAACTTGTACGCTCGTAGTTCCATGGGAGGGATATGCAGCTGCCCTTCATGAGCAACATCACCAGATTGTTCATTATATCCGAGCATTTCTGTGTCTTCATGCAACAGATTTAGTGAAGTAGCCCGTGCATTCGATACCACGAACGACTTAAACATGTTGAACATGTTGAAAGGTTCGTCAGCAAACCTAGTACAATTTGATCTGGCTGTCTTGCAGTATGATGAATCCCAGTGCCTCCTATGAAATATTAAAATAAATCGAGGATCTTCGGGCGATTGCTGAGAGTATTTCAGAGGACGAGGAACCTTAAAGCTGACGATATGCAAGTCACATGGCAAAGGAGCTGCTAAAGGAGAGAAAGATCTTGGAGGTGGCTGCACAGATGAAGGCTGCGGTTTCTTTGCAATAAATGTGTGCAACGGATAGTTCAAGCGAGCACCGACACAATGCGAAAGAAGAGAAGCACTTAAAGAAGAGTGATTGGGAACAGGATTTAATTTGGACGAAACATTAGACTCAATAAGGGTATGGAAAACAACGTTCATTACACGATTATCAGTCACTCCTTGCCCTAGGCCACGTCCATCATCCCTCGTCAAACGACGGTCAAGCATAATCTCTAACCATCCATCTTTAAGGCTTGCCACACCCAGAGACTGCTTAGAATGGATGGAGAACCTTTGACCATTCGATCCTTCCATGAATGCCAGAGAAGGCATTGGATAATAATTTCCCTGCAGCGGAATTTTATCATAAGACTCTCTTCGACTCATTTGAAAACCATTCAAATCAGAATAATATATCCTCTTGTTGTCAACATCTGTCTTGTATCTGACTATCAGTTCCCTGTCGTCAAATTCCTTTCCAAGTAGCTCAACATGATACTCCTTCTCAATTATATGCCCCTGAATTCTATCGTCCCCACTGTATAAACGAGTGCTATGAGAAATGGGGGATTTCTCCCATTCTGTTTTTGGATAAGAGTAAACTTCCTGCATCAGAGGGCCCTCGACGATCACGGTCAATCCACCTGCTTCAATGATAGATTTGGCATCACCAATGGGATTGAATAGGTACGCCCCACTTCCCAAACTTGAGTACATTGCAATTTCTTCATTCACAACATTTTGTGAACCACTTTTTTTAATAACTTTCTGCAGCAAACCATGATTGACATCAAATACGAGAGATTGGTGCTGGTTCTGGATTTCGGCCACGTCACCGTCTGCCTTAGAGCATACATACGGAGTAGGGCAAGGTAATGAAGTAGACTTCGAGAAGAAATTTAGTTTGGCGGGTTTTGGCTTTTCGCAACCAAATAAGCCATTTGCGATGTAATAGGTTTGCAGTCCCAATGCAGGAACCGAAATTTTCCAATGGAGACGATGCCTCCCAGTAAAAGCCTTGGCTTTGTCATGTTGAAATTCAGGAGAAACCTGGCTTTCAAGACATGTCCAGTTTGAGTCCAATACAGAAACATCTGTCATGTTGACAATAATCATCACAACCTCTTCCCTTGTTTGCTCTAGAGGATTAAAAAAAACCACTGATTGATAACTTTCTATTTGAAGGTCGATTGCTCTATGTACAGGTTGGACATCATATTTAGATCTCATCTGTTCGGTTTCGAACTGTAAAGAATTGTGATCAGATTTCTCATGACGAATTCCAAGTAGTACTTCAATACCTTTAGACATGAAAATGTGCAGATCCTGTAAAGAGGTGTGCATCCGAAGCCCGTAATCACGTACAACGTGATCTTTTGCAGTACCAGTGACCCCATCATGATGCTGAAAAAGAGCTAAATTCCTTCTCGCAGCTGTCAACTTGTAGGAAAACCCAATAGGAAACTTCTCACATTGAGACCTCTGGCAATGACCAAGCAATAAAGCTAACATCATTTCGGCTGCACGAAGTGTTTGCTCCAGTACACGATCAACAGCCTTAAAGAAAGGCCTAGACACATAATACCCACTCCAATAGTCCTGTTGTCTATCAGAATAAGTGAAGAAGTCACCTGACAAAGAGGGAAAACCACTGATCTGACTGGAGCCAACTTCACCAGGAAGTGAATAATTAATCTTTTCAGCCTCATCACGAAGAGTTCGAAAGTAGTCTTCCAAGGTGCCAAACTTTGCCTCAGCATTTAAACTTGGATTAGAATTAATATGATCAAATAACAACTGGTAATTCTTAAACTGAGCCTCTGCTTCATCAATGGTTATGTATCGAAAATCATCTCCAAGAGGAATAAGAAGGGTATTTGTCCTATATAGTACTGATTTCTTTCTATACTGATCAAGTAACATCATTGCCCTCTCCTGAACATTTTCTCTGTTGATCTCAACAGGATCTAGTCTCCAGGGACATAGTTCATATATAGAACCACGTGATCGAGCAAAGTCAAACTGACAACAAATGGCAGGCTCCGGTCCACAAGTATGTGGAATATCATAAGAATAAAAAGGCATCATGTGCACAAAAATGTCAGTAGTTTCTTCTGCATCCCAGCTCTGTCGCCAAGTGAATTCTAGATTTTTGTGCAATGCAAGTTCCTTCTTCAGCTCATAATGAGTCCTCTGTATAAGCATGTTCTCAAAGCCCATGCGACGTAGAAGATATGCCATCGTGGGTGAATAACCAAATGGATCTATTGCCCAAGAGTTTTTCGGAACAACGCCAATGGTCTCATTCAACCACATGTTCCCCTCTGCCATCTGGTATGTCAATGAAGATAATTTCAGAAAAAATAATAAAAAATGGCAACCATGACTAGTAGGAAGATAAGCCTTTTTTTTGTGATAGAAGAATACAAAAGCCCGTTGCTCAATGGTGTTGAATACTACAGCAATTAGTTAGAACATGTGAGCATTCAAAGATAACTTCATTAGCTGTACGATTTTAACATTAAGGAATTAGTAATATAAAAAATCCCTGAACTGCAGTTACTAGTGTCATTCAACATTCAAAAGTATGATAATATGTCCTGACGAGATGAGCTTATGTTCTGTCAGTCATCCTTTTGATTTACAGGAAGTAGACAAGAGTTGGGTGTTTCAGAATAAAGCACAACAACTTTCTTTCAATTTTTCGATTTTTCTTGATAAGAGCTTGGTTAACCAATAAAAAATAATAATAAATTATTAACAACTTGAATATGGTGCTGTATTACTTCTCAGCCTCAGGCCGTAGATAGCTTCTTGTTCATTGTGATAAAAACACCAGAAATATAGATTATGGGTTATTTTATCCAATAATAGTGTGCATATGAATTACTCATATAGTGGTGATTAAATCCCATACAATGAACATGTTACGTCAATAAGTTGAACTAAGTAAAGTCACACAAGCTACCAACGCCAATTAGCAAAGAATTCTGATTAAAAGCCAAATAACATAATAAAATTTGTACAATAGTAATATCTAAGAATAAGATTTACTTTACCTGCTCAATTATAGCGAAATAATGTGAATTGGCCTGTCAAGAAAAGAGGTTGACATGTCAAATTTCTAGACTAATGCAAATTGTAATTTCATAATATAGATATATATATACAGATTGTAACTTAGCAGGATTCCTAGCGGCCTAGCCTAAGTAATTTATATAATGGTGCCCTAAAAGCAGTAAAATCTTTCAAGGAATGTGCAAGAAACATGTAGCACAAGCTTATTTCTAGATTATAACTGATCGAATATAAAATGAAATCCAGAGGAGTTTAGTAATTATAAGTCTAAAGATAACTCAAATATCCAGGGCATCGGCTGAAGGCATTCAATTGAACCCGAATCCTGCACTAAAAACATTTTGGCCTGATTGCCTACTACTTGTATATTTGCATTTTGAAGTTAAGATATTGCAGATTAAAAGTTCAGAGGATGAATCAAAAGAAAATCCCCGTTACCAATCACTCACTATTTTCCAGATCTATATACTAAAAAATAACAAATGCATGTAGTGATAGAAACTCACACTTACTGTTCAGAGGAGCAAAAAACCTAACATGCAAGTGAGCATATTACCTCATCGTTCATCACCCAGCCACCTCCCACGATTTCTAGCTGCCCATTTTTAACTAAAGTGACGAATGCTTCTCTTTTCTCGTCTGATGCATCCCTCCACCATTTCTCCAGATAAGACATCTCTTCCCATATAAACTTCCGCCGAGAGTCCTACACATAAAAGAACAGAAAATTTTTAAGCAATTATGAAAGATTTCACTCCCACTCAATTCAGTTACACTTGGAATTGTGCAATGCCCTCAACAAATCAATTTATAGCCTGAAAAATTCAATATAATTCTCTTCTAATTAACAACAGGGAAAATAAAAATTAAATAACAAAAAAAAAGAGCCGGCTATATATTTTATACAAAGGTGCTAAACATTGATTTATGCATATCTATTTTGTTAACATTAGAAAAGATTACATTGATAACATGAATGTGCATAGGTGAATGGGAATAACACCAAAGAGTGTTACAATATGGATTGCCGATTGAAAAAAAATATGACAGAGAGAACAATAATAAAAGTGCTGAAACAAAATACACAAAGAGAAGGGGGCAATGACTGCAGCCTCTCAAACATCTTCAAGATCATCTTAAAATTATTTAACACTGTTCTACTTCTCTCCATCCATATTTTCCAACTGAATGCACTCCAACCTCCAATCCAAACTTTGAATTCTCTTTCGATATCTGACCACATATATTTTGAAATGTAAATGGGATTGAAAAACTGGTAATTGGAAGTGCCTAACAGCACAGAGTAGTAATAAGGCAGGATGTGAAAGTATGGCCCAAATCCTCACTGTTACTACAAAGAACATGCCATTTTGGCGAGAAGGCCTTTTCTAGGATTCTTAAGCTGGGTTCATCATTAGCCCTAATGTCACCAAGACAAATGTACTCCAAAAGTACATTACACTTCTTAGGATTCTTACATTTGCAAATCCCTTTACAAAAAGAAGGCCAAAGAATATTCATCTCCATCCACAGAGAAACGAAAAGAGGTTTCACTGAAAACCGCTCCACATGTATTTATTTGCCAAGCACAATTATAAGGGAAATGCAAAAGAACTGCCAATGAAGGAATGAATCTAAGTCCATTCAGCAACTTCTCTATCATCTGGAGGTCTTCTAAATTGAAGCATTCATCTGGAATTTTCTTCATCCCACACTTCCGTGATAATATGTTTTTAAATTTGCTAGGTTAAGTTTCAGGAAAGCATTAGAAAGAGGCCTAGAGTTCCAATCCCTCACTCAACCCTGAATATGATCTTTGAACGGTCTCCCACTTCCAACACCAAATTATAAAGAATTTAAGTTTTTCAACCTAGCAATTTACTGCCACAAACTTCTTGGCCAGCAGTGTAATCTTCCTTCTTCTTTAATTGCTAAAACTTGGAGTCAAGAAGGAGAGACAAACTACCAGTTAGATCTAATTAAAGCCTCCCTCCAAAGTTGCACAGCCACAAAAAAAAAGTCTCCAGAGATCATCTATTTCTTTGCTGTCACACAAGGAACCCTAAAGACAAAGAGGAAATAAGTAAAGAGGTCTGCAAGGACTGCTTGAAGCAAGATTATACAACCTCCTCTAGAGATCATGATATGTTTCCATTTACTAAGCCAGAACATAGTTTCCTTCAATACAGGTCTTCAGGAACTTCAATTTTCAGGGTTACCACCAAGTGGCCTTAGTAATTAATAGGCATTCTCCTTTTCCACAAGTTCACGGCAGAACAACACCTCCAACCCTGTCCTCTGTAGTATTGATTCCCACCAGAGACTTTATAAGATTAACATATTAAAATTTCATAATCAAAACCCAAGTTGTTTTCTACCCAGTCTTCATAGTCGGCAACTTCACCAATATTCGTTATGGGAAACGAAAATTTAACCCATAAACTCAGTCAAAGAAAACGCCAAAATAATCATCATCACCCTAATTCTATAGAGACCCTCGAGAAAAATAGATTAAAGAAAAAAATAAGAACTATTGACGAAGACGTTAAAACTAATAAATTCACCTTTGAAAGCGCTTCAACGATCGTATCAAGTATACGGCGAGACTGCCTCTCGTAGTACTCGTCCACAGTTAGCTTCCAACCAGGATCGTTATGCGAATGAGGCACCACGAAAACCTTCAATTTCTCCGAATCCCACTCGTCCCCATTGTAGGTCACCTTCCATCCTTGCTTCCAAGGACCGCCATCGACGTCAAGAAACTCAATCTTGTCGTATAATTCCTTGGTCGTAATATCCACATTAGCACTCAAAACCTCCCTGTTCCAATTCTCGGACACGATTGGCCTGCGCGGCCGGTGGGATCTTGTGGCATGTGATCTGAAGTGAGACGAAATCGGTTTCGGAACACCGTAACGGAGAAGAACGATGAAGAAGAAAATTAAGGAGATCAAAAAGCCGATGGTGAAGAAATTAGCGAAGATAAAATCACGAACAGCAAGCCGCCGACGGAACTTCCGGACGTGCTTCTGTTTAGCATTTGGTGAAGTGGTGGAGGAAGGAAGGATAGAGCTGGCCCAACCTCCTCGACGACCGCTGCCGCCGCGGGTGAAGGAGGAGAAGGCCATTTTAGCTAACAATTTCCACACTCCACAAGATCAGAGACTTGAACTCCGGCTTCGATTTTCATTCAATTCCAGAGGAAGATGATGAGAAATTGATCTGCGTTGATTGATATTCGATGACGATCAACATTTCATCTTGAAAAATCAACCGAGTCAATTTCTCAATAGTCAAGATTCAATCCAGGAGATTTTCGATATCGTTCGATCTGCGATTTCGGGTCCCAGCAGTGGAACAGTGTGGCTCTCTCAAGAATTCTATGGCCGTAGAAAATAAAAAAAATTAAAAAAAAAAAGTTGGAGGAAAAAAAATCTCAGTACCGATTTAATTTTGTTAATTAAGGAATCTTAGCTGATTAAATAAACAATTATCCACTCAAGAACAAGATTAATTTATTGAATGTTTCATACAAAAATTCACGAAGAGAGAGAATGTCCTGTCTAGGGTTTGGTGATAAAAGGGATCTTATTTTAAAACTTTTAACCTTGATTACCCTTTGGACAAAAAAAAAAAAAAACTTTAACCTTGATTATGTTTGTATTTAATTAATATTATTTTGATTACTAAACTTTTCTAGCGAAATTACTTCTTTGTCCTCAAATACAAAACTTCTGATTTTATTATATATTGTTTGAAAATGTGGGTTTTCATTGAATATTTTTTTTACCAATTTTTAATTGGATGCTTTAAGTAACTTTGATGTTAATCATTTTAAACTTTGTAAACTTTAAGATCACCCTCAACGTGGTAAGAGGGGTAGATGTGAGTAGAATCTCGAACACAATTGAAGTCTTCCAAATGATATCGAGGAGATAATCTTTACCAATTGTCATTTCAATATAGTAGAATATGCGTCAGTTGTAAACATGAGGACCAATATTAGTTTAGGTACATGCGTGATTGATAGCTTGTCTTGAGACAACCTCGAAAATTATTGACTTGAGCGAGGAGTGTGGTCTTTCCTTGTTTGTAGGTCTCTCAAACACATCGGAGTATGATCGTGATCTATTTCGAAATCATAATATACCTATTTAAAAAATGATCATCTAGGTAAAAGTATAAACCAAATTAAAAATAATTGATGAAACTAATTGAATTGGATTAAAATAGTCTATTGATTCAATTAAAATCATCGTTTCAATACCATAGCTAAAAACCAACCTGAACCAAACTACTTAGCACTATAATTTGAATACATATAGGCATAATAAATAATTTTCCTTAAAATATTACATTATGTGTAAGGGAGTTGAATTCAAAGTTATAATAATATAGCTAAAAATTGAATTGAATTTTAATAATCGAGTTTTTCTTTTCTTTTAATGATGAGAATTTGAAAATAGGTAGATGTAGATTGTCTTTTAATTGTTTTATTTTGTTTTTTAATCCTAAAAACTGTTTTAAAAAATATCTTTTATTTTCGTGGTATCATGTATTTATTCTTCCAATTAATCTTAAAATGTAAGCATAATTATAATAAATAAAACACATAACAATACTAAAATACTATTTCTCCCCAGATCATTTTACCCATTTTAGTCCATCTTTAACGATTTTTAATTTAGTCTCCCAATATTAACTAATAAAGGTTAAAATTAGCTCAAAATAAATTTACATGAAATAACACTTTGTGGACGGATAGAAAAATTTAGAAGAGAAAAAAAGTTATCGATGGAAAGAAAACTCAAAATTTCTACGAATTTCTTTAAAATTTTAGGTAATTACAAACTTTCCATGTATACTACATTTTCCCAACTTAACACTCTCGTAAATTCACTGAGTATTATGGAAGGTAATTTTATCATTAACCAATTTGAAAAATATTAAAAGATAAGGTTCCGAGTGAGAGTGAGGATTCTATCCCCATTTTTGTGTTCGTGAAAATTTTTAATCCTCGTCTCCACCTCGTTCTTCGGTCTGAGAGATCTTCTTGAGAAAAATTATCGGTTTTATAATTGTTTTTAATTATTTTTATTTAAAAAATAGAATGGGGGGAATAGTGAAAGAAAAGTTAAGATAAAAAGAGCAAAAAAAAGTTATATATAGTGGAAAAAAATTTTAGAGACAAAAACAAGATTAAGAATATAATTTTTAGAATAAATAAATAAATACAAAGATAAATACAAGTGAAAAAGAAGATATAATGTTTAGAGGAAAAATAGATTAGGAAGAGAAAGAAAAGTTATAAAAACAAATTTTAGAGAGAAAAAAGTTTGGAAAAATATTAAATTTTTAGAATATAAATGAAATTGATCCATTAGAAGAAAAGAAAAAATAAATAAAAATAGATGAAAAATTTGGAGAGAGACAAATAATAATAAATATGAAAATATGAAAATTTTATTGAGAAAAAAATAAATTTTGTAGGTAGAATTTAGAAAGAAAAAGTTTTATATAGTGAAAAAGAATTTAAAAATAAATATGAGAAAGAAAAAAAATTGAATATTAGAAGAAAAAAAATCAAATTTTGAAGTTTTTGAATTTTTTTTTTTAAAATTTATATAGAATTTCAAAATGGATTTTAAAAAACAAAAAACAGAAAACAGAAAATTTATCAAACACCAAAAATTAAAAACTAAAAATAAAATGGTTATGATTAAATTGGTTTAGATACTAAATTGAAAAATAACTCAATAAAACATATATCTAGCCTAAATAATAATAATGATATTTTGCATTACAAATCTTCATAATAATTTGAAATTGATCTGAAGATGTTAGAAGCAAAAACTAAAGAAGTACACAGGTTATGGAATAAATAGTACCATATGCTACGTAATTAATTCCAATTTATATATATTTAAGCTCATGTTGGTCCTAATATATATTTTTTAAAAAAAATTAATTTTACCTTCAAGCTATTTGTGGTTTTAAAACAAAGTAAAAAATTGAGGATAGTCTAGTAAAATTGAAAATTCTAAATCTGAGTAAAATTGAAACTAATTACATTTAAAGCAGCATTTAGTATAATTGAGGTTTTTATTTTAGTTTTTTAAGTAAAGCAGAAAGTCAATGCTATATTTAGTTCATGAGAAAACATGGGTTGCCATTTTTTAAAGAATGGAGAGAATTGAAAAACAGACTAATAAAAATATTATATTACACGTATGGTATTATGTATGTATATATTGATAAATATGGTAGTAGATTTCTTAATTGTATAGATAAAAAAAAAATAAAATGAAAAGCATTAATCCTTTTATAATTACTTACTGGGAGGGCACCATCTATAATTATTGTTTATAACAAACATAATTCAACAATAAATGATATCCTCTCCTTAAAAAAAAAAAGAGAATCTAATTGGATTTTTGGGCTGAATAGCATTTCTCACAGTCCCAACCCAAGTACTCTCTTTCGGATCCAGGAAACAGGAGATCTTTTTTCCTTTGACCTAGGCTTTTTAGGGATTCCCTAAAACCTGAGCAAGAACCGCATTATGAAGTGTGGCCACCCTCCTCATTTTTATGTTTTGTAAACATTTGCTGACATCACCATCCATTCCAAATTATTGTCCTACCCCTCCACTTACTTGTGTAATATGAATAGTCCCACTAGTTTCCCTCGTTTTTTTTTCATTCTCTCTCTACAATCGGACGGAAAAAACGCTCGTCTTCCGGTTATCTCAAAACTACCGACTCACTCAATCCTTAATCGTTTTCAGCATTAATCTGGCACTCTCGCTTTTCTCCAGCCACGAATTCGACTTATTTCGTCTTCTTCGTCTGAGCCAGCCTTCTTCGCCATCTATTCCTTCATTTCAAAGAGCCTCTATCGACTGTTGCTGTCTACTGAAGGTGTGGTTTTTATATTCATCTGCATTTTTCCGACTCTGAAATCTACTCTGAACATGTTTTATGTATTCGTTTGGTCATTTGTTGGATGTAGGGGTTTCATTGGGCCGAAATATGTATGTATTTAGGATTTGTTTCAGTTTGCCGTTTCGCTTGACATAATCTAGTTAGGGTTTGCGAAATCGATTAGTTGTAGTTTGTACTGCACCATCACTTAGATATTGACATGCTTATGCCTGTCCAAATTCTGATTGTTTCGATTGACAGAAACAAATGTTTGTGAGCGTGTTCCGGAGCCACAGAAACGGGAGTAAGAGGGAAAGCGAGGGCGAGAGCGAGAGAGCGAGAATGAAATAGAAAAGTATAACCAGAGCGAGAGCGAATACGGTTAAAGAGAGGAAGAGTGAGAGCAGGAGGGAAAAGATAACGAAAGCGAGAACGAGAATGACACAGAAAAGTATAACCAGAGCGAGAGCGAATACGGTTAAAGATACCGAGAGTGAGAGCGAGAGGGAAAAGATAACGAGCGCGAGAGCGAGAGAGAAGATAACGAGAGCGAGAGGATGTACAGAATCCGTAATTTACCTGCTGAGTGTTCTTCCATCACCCCTCTTTTTATGCTTTTTCAATGTACTGTAATGACATCTATTTTTCGTTTCCGAAACGTTGGTTCCATTTATTTTTTTGCTTCCCTGTAGGTGTAACGTGGTTCATTCATTTAAGATTGCCAAGGAGGATAGATTTCCAGCCCAAGCTACTAGCTTGTCTCATCTGAGCAACGTGAATAAGTATATTAGGCAGAAGCTTAATCCTAAAAAGTTGGAAATGTTCAGGAAAGGAACAGTATTTGGGCGATTCGTCGACCTTGACATGACGTTCTGCAGTGCATTGGTTCATTACGTTCTGCTCAGGGAGGTATCCGGTGCGCCGACAGATGCAATGAGCTTTAACATTGGGGGAACCATTGTTACGTTCTCTAAGGATGAGTTCTTACTGATGACGGGCCTATGGCGGTCATCTAGTACCGTTGTTCAGAAGAAGGTCTCCAAGAGAAGGCTGCACGATCGATATTTCAATGATAAGAAGGGTGACATAGCTTTCATTGATTTCGAACGAATTTACAAGGTGACCGTATTCGACAATGACGAGGATGCTATGAAACTATCATTGATATATTACACTAAATTCGTTATGATGGGCAAGAACAAGATAAAGTCCAACTTGAATGATGACTTGTTTGGGGATGTTGAGGACATTGACCACTTCAACAAAATGAATTGGGGGATGACTATTTGGACTAGAACACTTAATGGCCTCCAGAGTGTGATGAAAGACAAGGTGTCACATTACAAGTCAAAGTCTGCTAACAAAAGCAGTTTCAAGATGAAGTACAGTCTGGTAGGTTTTCCACCAGCATTCCAGGTATAATATACCTCCTTACGATGGTTGTACATTTGTTTC